TGGTTTTTCCTAAAAACCTGTCGGATAGCAGGTTTAGGATTGTTAAGGATCGATTATCCAGTCACGACTGCACTTACTGAAACAAAGATGGTGGTAACTTGTGCTACTGACCTGTAACCGACATGTAACTAATTACTGAGTGTCTCACTGTAAATGTTATAACAGGTAACACTGCAACAGAAAAAGTCTCGTTGTAGAGGTTTGAGATGCACACGGCTGAACAGAGCCAAAGTGTTTCAGCTACGGTACTCGCTGTACGTCCTGTAAGCGCTCTGCAGACACTCACACTGTGGTTGACAAAGTGAGAGATGTTTCCTAAGTGAGCTGCATCCACCGTGTACACGTCCTCCACGTAGTCCAGGTCGAACAGGTACGTGGAGCCTTGGCGGTCGTACACGTGACCCCTCCTCTCCGCCTCATCTGTTGTGATGATCTGGAGGAAACGAGACAGGACGTTACTGGAACAACGCCTCCATGTATTAATGAACACAAGAGAAAGTTGATTAATTAAAAGTAAATAAATAAATGAGCATCACCACACAAGGTCAACCACAGACGATGACTTAACTACTCAAAACCTGCCACCAGTTAACGAGAACAAACGCAGCACCAAGGTTACGGAGTAAAGAGGAAAAATAAAACCTCTACGCAGTTAGCAATGAATGCTGCCGTTCTTCCACTAAGTCGGTTCAGTGTTTTGGACAGTCAGGTGTCACTTTTGTTATTGGCGACACTACAATGCCGACATTTTGTGTCCTTGAGCAAATGAAAACTGCAGCATGTGAACGTGCAATACGGACGTATTATTATCAGATAAACCTAAAGGCAGCAGCTTCCTTCACTTCAGCTGATCGCTGCTGTTTTCAGGTAAAATGTCAAACAGAAGGTCACATCAGCTGTCACTAACCAATTCAATGACGAACTGATGAAATGAAACCTGAAAGCAGCTGCAGGTTTTTCTGTACCTCGGCGGGGAAACAGGCTCTGACAACACCTCTGACAGTTTCCAGCCAGACCCTGTAAAATGCAGTTATTTTGTTGTATTCTTCTGAGCTGAACGGCAGCTCTGACTGCATAATTATATGTGTTTAAGTATGTTTAGGTGTTCCTAAAGGCAGCAGACAAACACGCCAAAGTAGAACTGGGCTGGTCATCAGCTTACCTACAGAATGGTCTGCACATGTTGCCCCCGTACGGGCAGATAACAAACAACAATCACAACACTGGCACTGTGACGATAACTTGGTTTCTTCCTGGTGTTACATCAAGAAACTTTCCATTATAACGAGAAACTTCTGTCATTACAGATACTAATGATTAACTGCTACTAGTTTAGCTCACTTTCCAGTTTCATCAGATTGTCAGAAAAACTTCAAAACAAGCTTGTTCGTCAGAGCAACACGATGAGTTGGCATGTCATCAGAAAACACTTCCATATGGTATTAAACAGCAGGACAGCTCGCCTTGGAGTTGGCTGCTTCAGGATGGGTTAGGGTTAGGGTACATACACCACGTCCTACATGAGGAGGAAAAAGGCCGACACAGTAATCCAGCGTCAGCCGTAACTGATGAACGGCCTGCGTGATTATCTACACTTGTGTCGAGGTGTGGTCGACTTGTTGCTTTTGTCAGTGCAAATGCAGCGGCCTGGTGTGCGTTCGGTATCAGTAACAGGCGATGACAGGCGATGACAGGCCCGCCGCTCAGTGCAAGCAGGAACACTGTTGACATGAGATGCAAGAAGCTCTCCGTCTGGCCTCCCACTGCCACAGCACACAGCAGGAGACATTACAATGCATTTAGTTCAGCAACAGAGTGTGAACAACACAGAAAGCCCCATCCCACAGTTAACAGGACTGCTTCCTCAGGTTGCTATGGTGATACGGTTATCAGCAGCCTGTAGCTTCAAGGTGGAAATGCTGAGTCATGGTGTCACCTGCTGATTTCACTCACACGTCCTCTGGCTTAAAAAAAAAAAAAAAGCACTCATGTCAGTAAGATGAAAAATGTGATTTAAAGGACGTATCAGGATGGTATTGAGAGGCCCATGTTGTTGTTGTGAGTTAATCATAACCCTAACACTGACAAACAGACCGTCTCCATTTTCATTTTTTCCTTCAGTCTCTTCAGCTCAGCATGAACAAAACACTCAAGTCCAAATAAGTTTGTTTTTTTTTCCACGTTGCTTAAACTCGTTTTAAAAGCGTGAGTGTCAGCTCTAACGCGGCGACATCAGTAAACGAAGCCACGGCCTGTGCTCTAACCAATGATGGGCACGGCTAACATCCAGGCAGCAACTGCAACAGACTGACCAGGACTCACCTCTCCAACGTACTCCATGACAAACGTGTTCTTCTTGATACGCTGCAGCGTGCGGACGCCCCATCCCCGGCCATCCTCCGTCTTAAAGATGCACAGGTTGAACTGGATGCCTTTCTGCACCACTCTGTTGGGGCAATCGGGCCCACAGCTGCATCGGGAGTTACACTCATAGATAGGCTTTCCTGGCCGGATACGGACCTGCCCCCTGTCGTTATAGGCCATGCGGTGCAGGGAGGCTCCAGGACAACAGCCATTCACTGGCTCCTCTACACAGTTCTTACACTCACAGCCCACAGCCATCTCATTCAGCACAATGCCCTGGCCTACTTTGTAGTTGTTGATGTAGGTGAAGTTTTTTGGAGGGCCCTCTAGGTCCACTTCATTCATGACAAAAATGTGACCTGGGTGATTGCGAGTCAGATTTAGGTGAGCCTCCCAGCGCTGCAGACTTTGGCGGACTTTGGCTTTCTGGACTAGAAACGAGGCAACTTCCTTATCTAGCTTTTTAGGGATGCAGCGTCTCTTGTGGCGCCTCAGCTCCTGGTCCAGGTCGAGGTGGAACTGCTTCATTAGCTTAGGGCATCTGAGGTTCCTCTTGGGTTCCCAGGTGTTATCAGATTCTGGGAAGCCCCTCCACTTCACCAGGTAGAACTCCTCCTCCTGAAACACACAACAGCTTCAAACTGAGGCAAACGTTTTACTCTTTGCAAGTTCTAATGTTTGCATCCATCACCATGACAACGAGGACAACAGATGTTTTAAATCTCCAACAAGCGTAATTTAAATTATCTTTCAGCACAGCATAAATAACTGGATGCAGACAGGTACACGAAAAGATTACCGTGAACTTTGTGTGAAGTGATGTGAGGGTTCAAAATAACACTGAGAGCGCAAAAAGCCGTGTGCATGCCAAACATCTGGAAGACCTTTCTCATTCACTTTGCCACACAATGCACCATCTGTTAAACACTGAAATATCTATAAATACAACCTGCACAGGTTAGACTAACACAGCTTACTAACAATCTATGTAATCTGCATTACGACACAACATCACAGGAGCTGACGTTGAGTTTGTTGCTTCTGAGTCTCTTGAATACCTGCAGCAGGGCAAGAAAGCTGTGAGCATGAATGCACGCAACAACAGCAGGACCTTCATTAATTACTGATAATTACGAGTGATCCCCACCATCTAGACAGGATCGGTCCCCACACAGATGAGCTGTCACACACTCTTTACCAGTTTATCGTCAGCTACAGAGCGGCTGCTGTCAGGTGGAGTCTTGAGCTCCGTCACAGCTGTTGGGATATTTTTATTGAAGGTAAGAGTCTGATCCATTATCTTCTATATTCTACAGTCCCACACATGCTCTCCATGACTACAGCTCACCATGATGGGTATAATTCAATCAGGCTATAAGGAACAATAACATAAAGGTGAAGTGTGGATGAACGACAGATTTCTGTCACTTGAGCAGACTGATGAAGTCGTCGGATACGTAGCAGCGTATCTACAGATCCCAGACCATCACACACACCACAGTGTGATTAGTTAATAACTGGTGATTCACAGGGTGGCTCATTCTCCCTCCCATTTGAGTAGTGAGATGGGTCTGGGTCTGACAGGATTTATCCTCAGACTTGTTTAAAACCTGCCTCCAAGGCGCCTCTTTTGTTTTATGCTGTAAACTTGCTTCCCTTCCAACAACTGAATTGAAAAGATGCCAAGATGCATTTTTTTTTACTATAACAAAAACATATTGTCAATAAAGCGATGAAAGATAAGAAAGCAAGGCAGTAATAAGGAAATGGGAAGAGCGTGTGTCGTAAACCAGGACACAGCCTCAGTTCTGGACCGTGTTCCTGCTGCTGCTGTGTTGGTACCTTCAGCTAATTCAGCTGTACAATGATTTATTAACAAGCATGAGGAGTCTGACGGGACTTTGGCCATAAAGAAGCAATAAAATGTCCTTTATCATTTCCCACTGAGCGCGGTGCCATCCGTCACCTGCTGCTCGGTGGTTCGGGTTCGTGGTGCAGGAGCAGAGCTGTCAGTGTGCTGTGTGGACCCCCCACGGCTCACCTTGGCCTTCCGGTAGTCACAGAGGAACTCCACTTCGTACTCGTTCACGTTGGCTCTGCTGACGCCCAGCTGGTCGCTGTGCAGCCTCTCTCTGCGACACAGGGCCTCCAGCTGATCCCAGGACATCTTGCAGGCCACGCTGCAATCTGAAACAGCAATTCCCTTTAATAAGGTCCAGCTTCAGACACACCACTGCTACTGCACCGGGTCGGGTCGGACCGAAGCCCGGCCAGCTCCAGGTGCGCAGCAGTACCGTGTTGAAGTGAAAGGGTTAGTGACAGTAAAGAGAAACTCTCCATCTGATCAGTGCCTCCTGGTACCGAGCAGCACATGATGACCCTGACCCAGACCCAGACAGAGCCCGGTACACACACCGGTACTTTTCTACGTCCAGTGAAACCTTCTCAGACAACAGCAGCTACAGCACCGGTACCTTCAGGCCTTCAGTCATTTACAACCACACACACTGGGCCAACACTCGCTGCCATTTAAACGGTTCCGAAGCGCTGCGTGTCGTAACGTTACAGAGCTGGACCACAGGACCTGCGGCCAGCTCCTCCGAACCGGCTGAATCATGCAGTAGACGAGCCGTACTCTACGGAACACTTCCTGTATGGAGAGCATACGTGAAGCTTCCAAGTTTCTCTCAGTTCAAACGTGGAGAAGTTCCACACAAAGCGGCTCCGCTGAACGGCAGCAGCCTCCGGACAGCGGCTTCCTGGAGCCGCCGCGGAACGCGAACCCAGCGCCTCGGTACCGCGACGTGCGCTCGCCCACAGCAACATGTGCGCATGTCGCCTGTTTTAAGAGTGGACACGCTGACGGCTAAACGCAGGAAATAAACAGAGAATGCAAGGAAAGTTAAATAATAGTCTCCATGTGTTACCGTTCAAATTTTCCGCCATGTTTTCCGCACAGCCGCCAAAATAAGAGACGCCGTATTGGTCGGGAGGGTTCTGGAACGTAGGAGTCCGCCGCGGCCGCTCATTGGCTCGGCGGCGTCTGTCAGGCCTCTCATTGGTCAGGGAGTGTTCGGGCGGGTGGCCGGAAGACAGCAGACGGAGCGCTGAGCGCAGACCTGCGGCTCGTCTCATCTCACTGGTGATGTCTGGTACCACCGATTTCCTTTCCGATCCGATAGTGAGTCAAATGCAGGCTGGTATCAGCGATACCGATCCGATACCGGTACTATGTGCAAACACAGCTAATGTGTCTGGTAAATCATAATTATGCAAGACATCAGTTGTTATTTATTCATTCATGTGAGCTCAGTAAGAAGTAGTGACATTTTATTTGTATTGACCTATTTAATTTCTTAGCGCCATCTATCACTGTGACTTTTAAATTAAATATTATGTTCTTATCCTGGTTTTTATCCCAGAGATCGCTTTAATTCCTACAAGGTTTTTGCATAGTGTTTTTTAAAAAAAAAATCTTGATCGTATTTATTGTGCTGTCTTTGAAGTTGATGTGTGTAAATTGATTAAAAACATAAGGTACACAAGTCAGTTCAAAAGTTCAAAAAGTTATTTTTGTAGTTCTCTGAATTCGCGGCAGAGTGAGCCATCCTCCCGCTACATGTTAGCTAGTCATCTTTGATTCTCCGTGAGGAGAGCTCCACTTGCTAACGGCTAGCAGTAGCTCAACGGGGCTTCATGACATCGCTGAATTGTTCGCGCATGCTTTTGCCTTGGGAGATATTTGCCTGTAAGTTAAAAGAGTGCGCAAGCATGAAATACACTACATATGTGTTTTAGAGCAGATGTTTCTGTTTCTGTCACTCCGCTCGTGATGAGAGCCGTTAGCAGCTTGTTCCAGATCAACTGGTGATCAGATCAACTGGTGATGTTCAGTCAGCGAGGCAGCTGCTACAGCGGCAGTGTAGGTCGTAGGTGGCTGTGGAGACGCCTGTTCAAAAAACACAAACGTCAAACTCTTGCAAAATGTTCTTGCTGTCAGCCTTAACACTGGCTCCACTTATCGCTCTGTTGTGAGTCAAGGCTGTTCAGCCTACAAGTGAAACACACGGTTTGAAGAGAGCTTCACCCGGTGCAGTGGAAACATCTCTGAGCCGCGGTGGAGTCACAGTGTGAGCAGATGGACCTGTGATAGGATGTGGTGTCAGTCCGCTGCTGGTTAGAAAGATTACTGCAAGAAAACAGGTGGATCTGAGCCGTTTTACTTTTAAACACATTTTAAGTGAAACAACAAGATTTAAAAACATTTTGGACGATTTCTCAGTTCTGCCTTCACTCCGTTGATACCATTTATCTGACATTTCCCCTTTTTCTGAATTGATTCATTTTGCTGGGATATTGCAAGTCAATCAACATCGTGTTCTATAGAATCACTGCATTGTAAATAT